ATTTACTACTTGGGTAATGGTTGCTCAGTTTCTCTGACATTTTTATAGCTACTATGACAACATCCTCCTTTTGTGTGATATGTTCATAATCGGCTGTGATCGCAGTTTTATGTTGCTTTCGCTCCCCAAACTGTGTTAAGATTCCTTTCAGCCTTCCAACCCAATCTTCATAGGCAGTTGTGATTACACCTGTTTAAACATTTTCCTAGTGGTTTCATATTTGCACATAAAGAGAGGAAGTGGTTGATAAAACACCTTTTCTGTGAGTCTTCAGCGTGACAGGACTGAAGTTAACATTAGCAAGTTTCTCAGTGAATTTGGTGTGTTTCAACATCTGTTAACGAGTATAGTAAAAGTGACACTTCTCTTTAAAGTTTGCTACAATGCATGTGCTAACTTACCCTTTTTAGCTCCATGGTTTGCTTGCTTTGAAATGTTGGGCTGTGTGTGCGTGAGAGAGAGAGAGAGAGAGAGAGAGAGAGAGAGAGAGAGAGCGAGCGAGCGAGCGCGAGCCTTTAGAAATGCTTTCTGCTAGACCGTTGATCACTGCAAAGTTGTGTGAATGTAATCATGTACTTTTGCATAATCCCCACAAATTTCCAGCTGGGAAAGGAAGCAAATTTTCATCACGCGGGATTTTCTCTGGACCCTTCAGGTGACAATATACCTTACAGCTCCCTTATATTGAAGCCATGCTTTCTGCTCTGGGAAGGGCACAGAGCAAACATCTGTTTCTTACATGCAGTGGTCTGTTTAAGTGATAGTCAATCTTGTTGTTGTTTTATTTGTAAATCACTTCAGGACTCCTTTTGGTTGCAAGAAGTGTTGCCTAATTGTAATCAACTTAACTAAGCTATTCTTTAAAGAAATCATATGGTACAACCTTCTTGGGACTTAACCCACTTACCAATATAGGAAGGGAACTGCGTGTTATGTAAATTAGTATGAGACAGGAAGAAAAAGCTAGAACCCTTGTCTTCTTGATATGCTAGATTTCTGTGGCAGAGAAATTTCTGGCTTGACAGACCAGACCTGGCCATCCTGCATTCTGAAGATAGCACATCCCTGGAATGGTTTCAGTTTCCTGAGAATCCTTGAGCCTTATAGAGTCAGTGAGTGTGTTTGCCCATCATTCTAAGCCACTCTGGGTTTGCTATGCAAGGAACAAACTGCAGGACTTCCAATAGTTGACTTGGCTTCCCATGGCTTCTTTTCCCACTCATTCATTTATCCTGCTCTTGCAGGTGACCCAGAACACCTTGTTGCCTGGGTAAATACATTTTCCATCCACATTTGGCATGCTGGGTTTGCTGGTTACTGAGGGAAACTCCTCCCACATCCGTTTGACAAATGGGGATTTTGGAGGGGAAGATGGCAGTGACATGAGCGAAAGGATGAAGGGAGGCAGGTGGCTTTGCCTCTCTGGCAGGGTATTCTCTCCAGCCAGTCCCTGGCAATCTTGCTAAAATCACCTGCCAGGTCAAGATGACACCACAAGAAACCAATGGATAGGGACAATCCTAGAACAAGCCATGAGTTCTTGTGCTGGATTGTTTGTGAACAATAAACCAACTGCGGAAACTGTGCTGGGTCTGCACAACACGAGCCCCGATAGCTGATCAAACATGGTGGGTTGTCTTGCCATATGAACCACCTCCATGTAGGTCACGCATGGTCATCGGCAGTGATGCTCTCACAGGAACTGTGGGCAATTGAAATTGGTGTGTCTTTTCCCACAGTTGTTCTTGAACTGGCCGCTGATGTCAGGCGAGTTGTCAGGTCGAGGGTCCTTCTCTTCACTTGTAGGAACTGCAGAGGGGTGAGTGGGTCCCTCTCCAGGTCAGACTCGCTCACTGCTTTCAACGTCCAGGTCTCACTTTCTTGGTAGCTAAGGTAGCTCACCTTTGTCCTCCCTCTGCTTTCTGCTCTGCCACACCTTCAGTGGGTCAGGAGAACTGCAGCTATCCTTTCACTGGACACCTCTCGAGGATCAGGAAAACATATCGTTGCAGCCTTTATATTCAAACCATTATATTCAAGCAGGAAGACTTTCAACCTACAACCTAGCTGAGCACCCAGCAGCCGGCAAAAATTATTTGGATGCTAGTTACAGGACCAAATTTATATTGTAGTTTTAATTCTCTTGGTGTCAATTTGGTGTATCGTCTTTAATTAAAGGTCAAAAGAAATTGAACTGCAAACCTCAGGGAGACTTTAAACTGGTCCTTTAAGCTACAAGGATGCCCATTAGAGACAGTCTTTACTGCAGGATTTTTTTCCTACCGATACCAAACCAAGATGTTACTCTCCATTTGCAGGCAACAATGATCAGCACTCCTGGTTGTTGAAGGAATTTTTCCTCATAGCCGGTTAAGTTGGACTCATGGCCCCAGTGAACCTTTCATAAAAAGCTGCTGTGTTCTTTTGAACGCAGTAGTGATGATTTGAGATTTGCTTTCCAGTTTACCATTTTGAGCCATCTCAACATATATGGAAATAAAGTGAACCTTTCTGAAACGTGCTGCATTTATCTTTCACATGGAAATACGGTGTGATAGCTAGTTCAAACCCAGCATTTCCACAGACAGAACCTATTGGGTTGAATACGGCATTGATGTATTTCCCATTCATTTCGATGGACCTACTCTCAACACTGGAGAGAACCAACTGGATATAGCCTTGCTGGTTAGAAAGATCCAGGTGTTGGGAGAGGTGGTCAAAGGGCCCAGTAGAGAAATACACCTGCGAGTCCAGGTCTTGCTCCAGAAATTTCACAGCTTACACCCAAAGCATTGACGAGTGGTTGCCCGTGAGATCAGATATTGGGCATAATGAGGAGAGGACTGAACATTAGACCAGGAACTGGGAAGTTGCCCCACACTCCTCTGGACTAGAAGCAAGATTCAGGATCTGGAACAGTGCTGAGTGAGACTAGTGTCTTCATTGAGCACTGTCCAGTGGGGACCTGATGGCCCATCTCTGCTCAGACCTAGGGTCTTGGCATCTTTCCGTGGAGCTGCCCCGAAGGAAGGCGTTGGAATGTGGGCAGGCGTTGTGTTGCGTATAAGCCCTGCCTCGTGGATGGCAGTGCCCCAGAGGCAGCTAAGGGGATCCTGCTGCAACAGGGGGCTCTTGGAATCTCCCCAGGCCAGGGTGCCATCTAGGAAAGTGGCATCTGGTTGTGCCCCTGGGGAGCAGTTCTGATGTCTCCACAGTCAGCATTTCTGCCGTGGAAGCCTGCTGCATGGCCTTCAAAGGAGTCGTGAGCATAAACTATGGAGAGGGACCCAAACAAATATGTGTTCTCATTTAATATGAACTTAACTAGGTTTGCATTTTTGAAACCTGCTTGCAAGAATTACAGATAGCAGGCAAAATTGCATGCGAAACTATATGGATTGGGGATTAGCATATAGAGATTAGTATATATGGATTAGCGTGGATATAGTATTAGTATATATGTCTATATACTAGAAAAATCAATCAGGCTGGACTGAATTTAAGACTGGAAAAATGTTTTAAGTGTGATACAAGCTGAGCTTGAGATTGGAATAAAGGGAAACTGGGAGGTGTGTTCATCCCAAGATCCAACTATTAGCAGGCTTTTATGAAACTCTTGTTTGGGTGGACCTGTTCCAGAAGGAGTTTGGTCTTCTATCATTGTATGCGGAGCCAAGCAGTACTTGCTGTTCTCCAGGGAGCTGGGGCTGGAGAAGTTCGGCAGTGCTGAGAGAGAGCAGGCATGCTTGGGTCTGGGACAACAGTGAAGAGCAGAACGAGCAATCTGCACCATCTTGTTTCTTTGCCATGGGGCATGAAATGGTACAGTCCTTGTCAAGTGTAAAGCAGGGCATAACCACGACAAAGGAGCTGAAAGAATCGTAGTACTTCCAGAAGATCTTAGTTCATCACAAATATGTATTGCAGTGAAATTTAAAGAACAGACTTAATTTTTCATTAGGAAAATTTGTAATTGACATGCCAGTAGTGGTGAGGGGGAGCAGATGGGCCAGTAGAGCCAAATGTCCTGGTGTGGAAGATAAAAAGTACCACTGAGTTTTAATACTGACTCCCTAAAATGTTCAAAGTGTTCTGTAAAAGGTAAGAGAGTCCTTGTCTTCAGGCCTGCAATTCCATAGATATGACGCAAAGGAAAAGGGAGGGGAGAGGAGAAAAATCATACAGGGCAGAAGCTCCTTCTGTGGCTGGTGGATGAAGCTGTGTTGCTCTCAGTTCAAATAGACAATCTTTCTGAAAATGAGATTAGAACAAGCTCTTGGAAGCTGCTGGTTCTCTGACTGATGGGTTGGGCCAAGCTGGTCTTTCCCGATACAAAATTCTTCCCAAAATCTTCCCAGTGGCCCTTGGTCCCCGGCTGATGAAAATATGTGCTAGCTGGTACCTCTAGTTACTAAATCTCTCAGAAGCGATCTTCATGCTTAGAAAGACCATATGGTACAACACTTCCTAGAACTATATTGAAAATCTAGGAACCTAGGAATGTTTAAACATGTTGATTCCCCACCTTTATTCTGCGCTGGTACAGGCCTTGAAGCTTGCACCATATGCTTTCACCATGCTTTGGTTCTGTGTTGAATAAAATATTCATTGTTCCTGGTGTTTAAGCAGTTCTAAACGCGCTCTAAACAGAAAGTCGTGGAGAGAAACTGCTGACATAAAGTTCCTTTACTAGTGAAAGTTGTTGCTTGGAACTTTTAATAATATGTTGAGAACGTGAAGGTAAGAGGCAACTGCATGCACCATTTCTCAGTTGCATCCACTCACCCACCACCTATCCATGGCGAGAGCTTGGGGCTCCATTTCCATGTCTGAGTTGGAGGAGGATGGGGGTAAGGAGACGCGTGATGGTGTTCTTCATAGCTCTCCTCTTAAGCCAGTCGCTTCCGCATGCCTTTTCTGGGTTTGTTTTGGATTCACCCATGAACGACTCCTTGCCGTGTGGGGAGGAGTTGAGTCTTTCTGCCTCCTGTCTTCTACAGGTGCAGCCCCAGCCCCAAATGGTGAGGTCTTGCATTCTTTTCCAGCTCCTGGATTACTGGAGAGGAGGATTATGAAAAATGCCATTACAGGTAGGAGATGCAGTACAGTATTCATGTTTAAAAGAGGCCTCACACATCACCCCATTTCAAAAACTCAGTATAGCTGCTGTTTCCAAGAAAGGATTCTTTTAAGCGAATCCCTAAAACTGTGAAGGGCATTTCAAAGGAACCGGTCTTCAACATCTAGGAATCACACTCGCTTTATATTCATCCCTGCAGTCCATCAGACAGTTACCTGGAATGGCTGTAGCTTGCTTTATATATGTAGAAGGGCCTGTATTTATGGTTAAGAATGAAAACATGTAGGCCAAATACATTTAAGGAACATTCTATTTGTGTGGCATTTGATCATGTTTGAGTAGAGTCCGTTGGTTTCCGTAGATGTTGGGTAAAGTAAAATGTTATTTTTGTGGAGGAGGAAACTTTCCAAGAAAGAGTTGTTGTACTGGAAATGCTGTGCATGCAAACCAAACTTTGAAAAATGTTAAAGGGTGACATCATAGGCCATTCAGTTCGAGGCGCACACACACATGTGCATGCATGCACACCAGGTTTGGATCTTACAGGCATTTGTGTGCAAATCTGTGCAAGGGTTCTTGTTGGTCATCCCTTCCTGCTTCAACTCCCTAGGCCAATATGCTGTTCTCCCCCAAAGGGTTCCCCAGTCTTCTGGAAAAAGGTACCATCCACCTCTATGAGTGAAGTCGATTCTCCGATACAAAACAATATGGGAGGCTTAGCTCATTCCTGCTAGATGGAGTCACAGTCACCACTTCCTGATTTGCCACATGGATCTGTCTGGAAGCACCCGTAAGCGAAAAATCCATGTGTTGCCAGCAGGATCAAAGGCAAGGAAGTATAGTTCTTTGTCGTGGCCCCTGTGCACCACACATGTGGGCTTTGCTGCAGAGAGCAAGGCCTAGATCAGAGAGAAACTTCCAAAGCTAAGCGTTACGGAGTGGGCGGGAGCCCCCAGGAAGGCATCTCTGGAGGCATGCTGCGCACGCCTGCGAACAACCAGGAGTCTGGTGACTGCACTGTTTCAGTGTGTGGGTCGTGTCGATGCCCTCTGCTGCCTCAGTTGTGGCAGGACAATCACAGCTCTGGCTATTGTGGTCACTTAGGTTGCCTGGTTCTCCTGTAGGTCAGATCTTTAGCAAGGTTTAGGAGTAGGAGAATTTCACAGGGGTTAGCTAGCTGATCAGCACCATGGAAAGCACCGAGTCAGGGTGGGTTGCTTAAATGTTGCTCCAACAGGGAGCAGATCGAGACTGAGCGCTAAACAGGCTGTCCTTTAAGCTAGTTGGCTCCACTTTTGCAATGATTAAGGCGTTGTCTCTTAACAGGGTCTGGCCTGTTTCAGCTTCTCAGACTGCAGCAGGGCATGAGTGCCTGTGTATGTACTGCTCTTGCAGCTAAAGTCTGAAGACAGCCCTTCCAGCTCTTTTCATTGCAGAGAAGACAACCCCTGAAATCTTTCCAGGAATCTGAATGATGGAAGTGGGCGCCTTGCGGTACCTTTAAATGGCCACAATGATGTGTGAGGAATCCAGGTTGGGTGTGAAATCCGCTGAATTTCCCCTGCTTGGCTCCCTGGTCTCTGGCCCACTTTCTCTTTGTCCCAAGTCTGCTATGCGCTGAGCTTTCATAAAAGTGTATGGCAGGAAGCAAGTCTGCAGAGTCAGCTTGTGCAGAGTCAGCTTGTGCAAGCATAAGAGAGCCAGATTCCGGCCTGATCTTCTTGTCCCTACATGGCTGAATACTTTCCCCATACTGTTAGAACTCCTTTTTCTGAGGATCTGGTGAGGATGAGTGTTTGGAGTCCTGGGCCATGGCACTGACACCTTAAAAGTGGGGTGGGGAAGCTATGGTCCACCGGATGTCACTGTACTTCAGCTCCGATCAGCCCCAGCCAGCCTGCCCAGTGGTCAGAAATGACAGGTGTTGCAGCCCAACAGCTGCAGGGCCACAGCTGTCTTACACCTGCTTTAAAGACCAACAAATATCTTGTGAAATGAGCTTTCCTCTGCCAGAGGCCACTTCCATCAGCAAAAACGTATGTCATCATCAGTGTGTTTGTCTTTAAGGAGCCAAAGGCATCTTTCTTGTCTTTGCTGCAGCCCAGACGTATCCCTCCGGAAGGGTTTTCATTAAATATCCTCAGGGCTTACTTTATTCATAAGCCAAGGAGGGAAAGTTCATGGAAGGAAAACAGGGGTTAAGCATACAGAACAGGTTCTCAAACCAAACGAAGCTCATGCACTACAATTCTACCTGCACCATCTTCACAACTAAGGCCATTGAGAGGGCAGCATGGCTAAATAGCAGGGAGCAGATCAAGTTTCTCCCTGCTACTTTCTCCAGGGCCCCTGCAACAGATCTTTCCCATCGCCTGCTAACTGGAGAAATGAGGATTGAACCTCAAATCTTGTGCATACAGAGGACTTTGCAGCTCCATTTTTCATCTGGCTCATGGCCATCTCAATGGAAAATCTGTTCCTCATGGAAGGGAGGAAGGAATGTCTGGAACAGTCTTTGTACGCAGCCGTGTTCTGCACAATCGAAGCTCCAGACCATGTGGAGGACTTGTATGAGTTAGAATAAGTAACCCCCACTGCAAAATGGGGGTCCCCTCCAAAATGTAGTGGGGGTATGACCAGAGAAAATGGGCCAGCCCTTCGCTCTGCCTCCCACAGTTCTCACTGTGTGGTGGCTTTAATGCTCGAATGAGACCTGTTTGTTGCTTAAATCAGTTCTCCTTTTCCTTAGGGCTTCTTTCAAAGACAACCCATTCACAAGACACGGGCATCTTTCTTGGAGCCTGCTATGCTCCTGAACATCCTGAATTTTAAGACATTAAAACTTGTTTAAAAACTTGGGTGATGGCTTGCTGCAAAGCAAAGTGCCATCTGTTCTGGGGTTCAGCAGAAGGGTTCTGTATTTGGGTGACCAAACCTCACTTCTGCCTTCTACTTAGGTAGCTAGGTAAGTCTCTTCCTTTCAGTCTTATCCATTTACTTTCCCCTTGTAGCTGCCATGTTATGAGTGGGCAATTCCCCCACCCCTGCTTTGCAGCCATTTGTAAGAATGCCCACAACATCTTCTCAAAGTTCCACATGAGTTCACCAACCCAGAAAGCTTCAGGACTCCTGTTGTATAAGCATTCTCCCTGCCTGGCCATTGGCAGCTGGGTTCTGCAGCCCATTTCGACCACCCAATGACAGGTCGGATTCTTCTGTTGTCCCCAGATAAGCCATCCATCGCAGGCTGGGGTCTTCAGAGTGGGCACTCCATGGTTCCACCGTTGGACACTTTGCTGTTACTTACTGTGCACATCTTGCTGTTTGGTTTGCGTTCAGAGTTAACCCAAAAAGTATCCCAACTGCATTGCACAACTTGCTCAAGAATTTTTTTACTGATCATCCTATTTATAGATCTTGCCCTCTTCCAAAGGACCCAAGATTGCATGCTCCTCCTCCTCTACATTTTACCCTCACAACAACCCTCTGAGGTAGTTTAATCTGAGAGGCAATGACTGAACCAAGTCACCCAATGAGCATCATAGCTGAATGGGGACTAGAACACAGATCTCCTGAGTTCCAAGCCAAGCCAAGCCACACTGTGTGTCTTAATAAATATGTTTTTTACAGTACAGAAAAATCCTGGGAATGTTTTTGATCTGTTCCCCCTCTGTGTGAATGCATCTTTTAAAAGTCACTAATTACTTATATATCCAATAGTAAGAAATGTTTAAAATATACAGCCCAGCAGTTAAGTATGTTAATAGGGAATTATTAAAGTGAAGTGTGATTCTTGTCATGAGCCTTAATAGGTCCTCTAAATCTGTTTTGATTTATTGCGTCAATGTGGGAGGCATTAATATCTCTTGTCACAGCCTGTAATGCTTGCAGATTTTCCAGGTTTTGGCTTAGGGTCCACTTGGAGCTGTTAGACTCGAATGGTGCAAGAATGGGCACTGCAGTTGAACGCTTCCTGGTGTGCCAGAAGTCCTCATGAAACCTTGGCCACACAAACCTTGCAGCACCTGTGGAGTCCTGAGGTGTGGGGGAGGTGGGGAACATACGCACAACCTGAGAGCGTCATATATTTAAAAGAAATCACCCCATACCACTGAAATATTTAGTGGCTCTAAAACTCTCCACTGTGGTGGGACTTCAGCTTTGGAGAGGGATTTGAACTAAAACCTTGTGTTAAGAAATACTGCCATGGGAGTCCCTCCGATCTTACTAGAAAATGTGCTCTTGGGAGATGCCCCAACCTGCCAAAGTTTAGGCAACACAAACCGTTCACTTATTTTTACAGCGAGTGCCCGCAGTCGCTTGTTCAGCTGCACCTTGAAGGCAGGGCAGTGGGGAGAAGCGATCCTGTTTCTTGGGGGTCTGTCTTTCTCAGCAAAACAATTTAGCACAGCCCATGCAACACAGCACGAACTAAAACATTTTTACAGTTCTCGTAGTTCTTCTAATCTTCTTCACCATGTCCTGCAACTGCTAGAAAAATCTGGTTGATGTTCCGTAGAATCTCACTTCCTACAGCAATGCTTGGGGAATCATTTTTCTGTTTGGTGCCGGATCCCGCCAGTGGGTTGCCTGTCAGCAGTGGACAGCAGCAAACCAAGGTGTGGGTGAGGCGAAATTCAGTGGTGGATAGAACAACGTCCTTTTTTTCTCCTCCTCCTCTTTCTGCCCCCCCCCCCGCCATGTGATTCCCATTCTCCTACTCCCTGACTCTCTATCTTTCTGCTACCATCTTTTGTATGACTCTCTCCCTTCCACCCCCTTTTGTATACCATTCCACCCCCTTTCTCTTGGCCCTCCACCTCCTATTGTGTCCCCTTAGGCCACCTCTCTCTCTGTTCTCTCGCATTCTCCCTCTTCCTTCGCATCCAGTAGGTTGCCGGAATGACACAGATCACCCTTCCCAGAGTTCTGCTTTTACTGCTTGAAAAGAGCTTCTGAAATTAGGTCAAGGGGTGCAGGTTGCTGACCTTTGTCCTTAAGATACACGCTTGGCGAGGCTCTGAAGCTGCAAAGTCCCCCCCCCCCCATGTGAAATAGCCTGTACATCCTCACATTACTTTCTTCTTGACAAATTCTCTGTTGAAAGGGTGACTTAAATGAAACGGACGGATGTTCGGCTAAGCTCTAAGCCAAGCACAGCCTGGTCTTGCCAGGTTTATTCTAGGAATGCGATGATTTGTGGTTTACATGGAACATTAAGGGACACTGCCCAATGCTGTTTTCTTTTCCCTGCAGGAAGTTGTGCTTCTTGACCCCCAGCTTTTAAAAACCTAGATTTCTTCCATATGAATGGACGTTTTTGTGTTTTTGATTATTTGATCTATCTATTGTTTGTGCTAAATAGGTGCAGAAACACAAGTGGAAAGTTTTGATAATGATAAAACTACAAGAAATTTGCAAATGCTAGCAGTACGAGTGTGCGGTTACACTCTTGGAATGAAATAGGAGTGGAAGTACCAATCAATGTTTGAAGTGGCAGTGTCCCTGCTCTTTTTATCCAGGTTCTCAACCATTCTACTTTTTCCCCTTTCAGTGTGGGACAGCACTACAAGTTCCGAGGTGAGATCAACTTTGGAATACAGTTGAATAAATGAGATCATATATGGCCATCTCTTTTTGGTCACTTTGGGACATGGCGGCCTCAAACACAGTGTTGTTCACTCCTTTAATTCAGTGGTGGGGAACATACAACACTTAAACCATCATTGGGCCATCTGCTTTCTGTGTTTTTGTTTCAGAAAGAGGTAAATAATTTCTCCAATAATTCCCCCTGTCAGAAAAGTAATTATTTTTAGGAAGTCTAGGGAATGGGTGGGGGATGCTCCATACTTTTAGAACTTCAGTGAAGGAAATTCTTTTGAATTATTTGAAGGGGTGGGGGACAAATTTGGAAATGACAAGCAGGTTATTCTAAGTTGCCAGTTTTTCTATAGCATTTTTTTTTTGAAGATAAAGATTTCATGTCCCCTTGAGATTTGCTTTTTTAATGCTGTGAGACAGGGCAGAAATGATAATGCATATCTGTTATAGTCACCTAACAGAAATGTTGTTACATTTTTTAAACATGCTAAGATTTATAGTTTAGTGATGCTCTTTGCTCGCATGCCTTTTCTATTTAGCTTAATATGAACTTCAGGGTATTCGGTATGGGCCTAATGATTGGTCTATATTTTCTGCAGTTATGAGCACAGAATGGACCCAGCTTTGCATGGGGTGGTATATCCTATGGTATAAGACAGTGGAGCGTTTGAGCACGCAATCACAGCTGATAGAGTTGGGCACATAAAGTGTATCCTGAGTTGAAGCCACAGCTGCTGGTTCTCTTAGGGCCCAGCTCTTCCAGGAAGAGAAGAGACTATCCCTGTCATTCTTCTGAGAAAGACTGCCCAAGACAGTGGGGTACAACGAAGCCCTGCCCCATCAGACTTTGAGTGCAAAGCTATGCATTGGGTAGGAAAGCTTGTCCCCAGTGATGGAAGATGCTGCTGAAGGCTTCAGCCCTATGGTCACATTCAAATGGATTGAAAACAAATTTACCCCAGGGCACATACCTTTAGGGTTTCCTAGTATGCAAGCTCAGTTCCAGATATTTAGGTTTCGTGGTCTTAGCAGTGCAGCACTGGCAGACAAACATCTTTTATTATTATAGGAGGAAAAGAGCCACAGCAGTGGCCATTGCGATGCTGCCTTTTTTGACAGTGCAGGTAGGGCTGGACTACACATTACTCATAAATGTGCAGTTGGCAGCCATGCTTCTAGTTAGCCACTGTGCTTCCATAATGTGGGGAGGAGCCCTGGTTCAGCGTCAGAAAGCATACTTGGGATTTAGAAGGTCCCAGGTTCAGTGGCATCTTGACATCTCCAGGTAGGGTGTGAAAGATTTCCTGCTTGAAAACAGGGAGACCTGCTTTCAAGTTCGCTGTGGATAATACCAAGTTGGGTGTACCAATGTTCTGACTCTGTGAGTAATTTTCTTATGTTCACAATATCTGGAAGAACTTCTCTTGGCTAGCAGTATCACAACATTGTGCTTTTTTGGCAAGCTTATACCTTTCTTTTCTTGTTCCTTTAGCTTTGGGGATGGTATTTAGATATGGGGCAATGGCAAATGGAAGGTAACCCCCCCTGCCAGTCCCATCACTGGCAGAGGTAAGACAAAAAGAGTTGGCTTCTCTGCCCAAAGCCAATGTCTTGAATTCTTCTGAAGACTGTCCCTTTTGTGGTACATTTTTAAGAGAACCAAAAAAATTCTCAATAAAATCCCACCTTCTCCCTCTGCTTTGCTATTATTCTCTAAGACTTTCCATTGGGTGATGGTGCACTTAGCTCAATCTTATCTACATGCCCAGGACCCTTTCTCACTGTTCCTGCAAACAGCCAGCATGGGCTACCCCTCTGAAAAGTGCTTTTAAAGCAAAAGACATCATACCAGCGACTTCTGCCACTGCTGAAGTCTGAGAGTCCTCAGTGGCTTGCGCGTACCCCTGTACGGCCCTGATGGGCCTCGATCGCATTCAGCCCTCGCTTCCTCCACAACAGTGCCGAAATGTTTTGCTTCAGTTCCTGTTTGCAGTGTTACTCAGCGCAGCCTCTCGCTCCTCTGCCAAACTGGCAGAGTTTGTAGGTTGACTTCCTGTACAGATGATGTAAAAACTCCTGTGCGCCTTCTTCCTCTGCAGCCATTGGGAGATAAAAGCCAGGACACTGGGGATTAGAAAGAGGGAGCCAAATTATATTTATAATATTAAAGTTGAGTGCATTTGTGGTTTTGCTTTCCTCTAGGGTTTTTCATAAGTAGAAAAACATGAATTAGCATTTTCCATTTCCATATATTGACTGGAAATGTAGCCTCCTCTTAATTAAGACCTATAGCTTTTGGGATGTATGCAACAATTTTATAAAATATTTACAACGAGATTTGCATTTTACATGCATTACTTTTTATTTTTGTGCGTGCCTTATATTTGCAGGAAAGGGTTAGCCTAGGAAAGGAAATGCATTTTGTTTGCCAGGAGGGGAAATAAATCTAAAAATGGACTTGCTAGCAGTGAGCACTCAGAAATGCCCACTTCAGGTTGCGGTCTTCAGTAATTATCTAAGGTCGATTTTTGCCAACCACAAATTTTGTTATATTGTCTTTAAAGGCTATGTTCCCTATAGAAGGCTATTACTTTCCCCTTTAAAACTGGCATTGGAAAAGACTGGTTGCAGCTTTGTGTTAGGAAGATAAGTGGAACACTTCTTTTTCTACCCCCCCTCCCCGAATGTAAATGCGTGTTGTAAAGAACATAGCTATTTCCTGGATAATTTGCAGTTGTATATTTTATGTTAATTTCACCGAAAATATTGCACCCCTGCCAAGTTTAGTAGAGACTCACTGTGATATGAATAATTTCTAGCAAATCATTTTTTTTCCTCATTTAAGATTTGGCACCTTTTAAAGATTTTAATAATAGCAACAAGGAAGAAGATTTAGAACAAGCGAGACGGTGGAGCCAGAGAAAGGGGGGGGGGTGAGGGAGAGATGCACGTTGAGAGAGAGCATAAACGAGCAAGAATAATTACACAGCAAACATTTTTCTACAGATGTTCCCCCCTCCTTGTAATGTAATACCTATTTACTAAACTGTTTATTTTGGGCCCTTGGTTTACAATAAAATATTTATATTTGTTTTACTGTAATAAAAAATATTGACAAAATACTAGTGAGATTAAAAAAAAGACAATTGCTATTTTACTTCCTAAACAGTAAAGGTAGTAGATTTTTCTCTCTCTCCTCACCCCCACGCTCCAGACCTAGGTTTTGCAAATACGTGCAGAGTTAATGTGACTCAGGAACTGAGCTAAACTAGAGTGGCTCATACGTGAAGTCGCCAGGTGCTCTTTGAAGCCCTCTCAGTTTCTTCTGTCCATTCCACTCCCCATATGCAGCGATGGTAGACCAGCCCTCCTTTCCAGCCTGGCTCCACCCCTGAACCCAAAATGGGTGTTCTGGCGGCAGAGAAGCTGCTTAGACCCCCTTCCTCCTCCTCTTCCTGTCTGTTTCACTTGGGGTTGGGGATGGGGCCATCAGGTGACAGCAACCATGGAAGAGGCAGTGGGTTTGGTTTTGAAAGACACATTGCCACTGATTTTCGTAAAGACGGCCCCTTCAACTCCTATGCTTTTGGTAGTAGCAGGAAAGCCAGAGCCAGTTACTCCCTAAGCCAGTTACGCCCTAAAACTTTATAAGCAAAATGTGTGTGATTAGATGATACCAGTAAGTCACATATTCAGATTTCCGTGGTGCGATGATTTCCCTTAATGCATTCGGCTTTTTTAATACTGCACAAAGATGTTTGAGGAAGAATTGTCATCAGCGAGGATGGCCCAAGTTTTCTTGTGATTTGAAATTTTATTCAGACAACAATTGATTTCACATAGGAAGCTGCCTTGTATGAATTCAGACCGCTGGACCATTTAGCTCAGCCTGCATGGAGTGGCAGAAGCTTTCTGGGGAAAAGAGGAATTTTCCCCAGCTCCAGTTGGAGAAGCCAAGGATTGCCACGCGGGACCTTCTCTGTGCAGAACAGCTGCTTTGCCCCTCCCCGATCTTAAAACGAAGCTCTGCACTTCATAATTTACAGTCAGAAAGAAACGCCAATTGCAGATTTATTGAGT